TAAGCAGAAAACGTTCACATTTCCTGTTAACAACAGCTGCCTAATTCACAAAATCATCCTCCTGATGTTTAACAACTTGAAAACATCGGAAACGTGCATCGAAAAGTGAAGTTTCAGGACTGAAAATCCTGGTCAAGTGTTTCACAGTGTCGTCCAATGATACATCGCGTGGGTTCTTGGGTAGAATATAATTAGAGTACTTTTCATACTCTTGTGGACCACATTTCCTCAAAAGAAGACGCACCTGTGCTGCATCGCCTAGCTTACGCCCATCAATTTTTAACTTCAGAGCGGCGAAACCACGCTTCGAAAGTGAGGTCATCGTCCGGCTGGAAATGAAATGCTGCCATACTGTGCGCCAGCTTGTCTGCAGTGGAAACCGCTGAGTCCGTAGAAGCTGATTGTACCGGCATTCGTGTTATCAATGTTTCAATTAAGCGTAGTTGTGATGCTTCGAACAGTGCTTGCTTTCTGGACAGCATTTATAGAGATTAAAGTGGACCTTCATGGTTTGCAAACTGGAATACCGTCGCCAGTATATTATAACTAAATGTAACACAACCCACTCCGGATGGAATGCACGAACATCCGGCGTTGGGAAGAGCTTATTGGAAAAGTGACATAACTGAGCAACCGCGAAGGTACAAAGATCATTAGATCAATCAGCCAACCAAATGAAAGGAGTCATGAGTGGTATGCGGTCTGACTCTGAACGACTGTGGTGTGTGAGTGCAACACAATCACGTGACAGCGCCGTCACGAGTGTCAGCGATCTAGCTGCGGAACGATTCTGAAGCGCAAGCCCGTATAAAAATCACTAAATTGGTTCTGGTACTGATCGTTTGTCATTGGGACGTCAGGGTGAATATCGTCAACTTCAACCTCACTGCTCACGCCATTGCCGTATTCCTCAAAAATGGCATCGTTCTTACTCCCATCCATAGCATTACTGATGCAGCATTTCTTGAATGATTGTACGATAATTTCTGATGGAACATCCAGCCACGCTTCTTTCACCCACCCTGCAACTGTAACAATGTTAACCAGTTTCACATTGCCACCGCTCGTCAACCGTAAATCAGACGACGACATCCATTCAATCCACCTGGCCTGAAGCCTAGTTTTAAAGGGCTTAATGAGACAGACATCCAGTGGCTACAAGGTTGATGTGAGTCCATCTGGAATTAAAGTTACGGACGACTTCAGTTCACGGCATCGTTTTTCCAAGTTCTCAGTTCGGTGTGCCCTAAGGGAATCCCAAACCAGCATAGATGGTTTCTTGAAAAAGGCACCGCTTCGCTTTCCCCAAACTGTATCTAGCCAGTCGATAGCGTCATTATCGTTCATCCTTCCTTTCGCATGGGCCCACACAAACATGCAGCTTGGGAACTTTGCTCCTTTAGGCAGCGTCTTACGCTTAAAGATAATGAAAGGTTATAGACGGGAACCATCCGCCATACACCCTAAAACAACTGGGAACAGTGTCTTCTCGTCTTTACAAATAGTGTGTTAGCGCCTTTCTGCTCCACCGTACGACTTGAAAGTATATCAAAGCACGCGGGCGTATCGTCCGTATTCCCCTATTTGGGACGGTTCAAAGTCGTACAGCTTTCTCAGCTGAATCATGAATCTGTGAATTGGTTCAACTTTAATATCCAACTCCTTCGGCAGTTTCTGGGCTAGTTTTGTACGGGTCCGTAGACACATGTCGAATCGGTTCTCAAAACGATTGCACCATCCGAAGGACGCAACAAAATTCACCGGTTTCGAGGGCTGGAATTCCGGACTTTTTAACATTGTGAGCGCCCTGATCCGAATGTACGTTTGAATAACAATTAACCCGCTGTGCCGTGACTCCATAACCCACTGCGCTAACATTTCCTCCAGTGCAGGAAACATGGTTGTTCTACCGCGTACTGCTCTCTTGCCTACAGGCACCAGTGACAATTCTTACTTGTCATTTCGCCATTCTCTCACTTAATTTTCATTCACCGTGAAATGGCTTGCAGCCATACAATTATTAGGTTGCTGGGTAAACGCGATAACTTTCAGTTTAAAGCCAGCAACATATGCACAACGCTTCTGTCCAGACATTTTTCACCTTTCTACGGCTTTGGAAGATCGCACGAAATGTGGACACATTCCCTCTCAGCTGAATCGTGTGACGCCGTGTTAGCGCTGTTTCGGTCAGCTAATCGTAGCGCTTATACATTATGCTATGCTAGTCAATCTGGTGTTTTAAAAGTACGTCGTCCCACACCACCGATAGTGAACTTCCCCCTCACCAGCTGCTCCACGGCGATTCATATGCATGAAGTCCCCGACTATGCGGTGTCTGACATTACCCTTTCACCATACCCATATTGCCATCTGTCTTACCTATTTCGTGTGACATGACATCTAATCAACATACTGTTCAGTGCGGTTAAAATTTTTGTTCTGAAGACTCTAAGCCCCATTAACTGCGAGAACACATTAGGTCGCCAGAACTGACCAACAGTAGAGCAGTTTTCGCTTGAGTACACTCAAGTGAGAGCAGGTAGGGATGAAGTTAAAATCGGGAGAAAAAAGTTCGTCTCATTTTGTTGATTTTTTAGGGGTCGGTTAATATACGGACTTATGATTCTGGATCAATTTGACGTTGCAAATTCATACTGTCGGCTTGTATCCGGATGCGGTAACTCCACTGTCAAAACAGGATATAGTCTACCGTATTAAAGGTGGGCAAAGTAAGTATCGTAATATTGTGCTCAGAGCTAGCATGGAGGTTTCTGCTGGATTCCAACAGGTTCTCCGACCTCTCCGATATCCAGTGACTGATGCAGTGACGATTGATAGTACTACAAGCAAAGGCTCCCGCATCGTGCATGGCGGCCGAGATCCTATCCCGCTGAAGTTCCGTGTCATTAAGACAAGAAAGAAAGTTCGATACGCAGTGCAGCTTGGTAGGCTTGCGTGGCCGACGGCTTGGATAACGTCTTAGTTGCCAATTGTGAGAAGCGCTTGGTAAGCCTCCCGGTAAAGTTCATGGAAAAACGGCAGCGTATCAAGGCACAAACAGAATCGACACAAGTACTTCAGGAAGAACGACAATCTAGGATGGAACCCGCCACTTGTAACTTATAGCAAAGTTATCTATTGGATACATCACTTATCAGCTACAAGAGGACGCAAATTGGAACTTCGGCGCCAACTGTGTCTAAAAGCGGCACTACTAAGAAACAACTGGTGCTCCGCACACATCTGTAACAGACACTCACCATTGTCCGTCCGTTCGCAGGTAAGTCCATACTTAGCAGATAACAAACCTTCTGAAGAGCGCAGATGACCTACTTACGCATTCATATCCTTCGCGAGAACTATGATATCTGAACTGGTAACACTGCGTAGTAGCGTGTTCAGTTCGTGGTAGGAAGCGTTCTTCACAGCACCAGAGCTGCAATTGGTGGGAGCATAAGCGGAAATCACAAATAGATAGCGTCTTGTACGATTGCGTGAATCAACCTTAGTTAATGTAGTCAAACGGACTGCGCACAATCGTCTGTTCACGGGATTCCAATCAACCAACGATGACTCAGGCTTGGAGCTGAGAACAATGCCCACTCTAGTTTGACCAGTGGTTGTCGCATTAGCGCCTCTGGATGCGTGCAAGCAATAGCGACGGGAAAAAGAGGTGCACGTTAATTTAACAACCCCGTGAGGGCCATCGATCTTAGTTTCGGGCACACAACACACGCCAATAGCCTGTGTCTAACGTGCGCGCGAGTGCAGCCTGTCTTAGAGTGCGAACGTTGAACGCCGCCAGGGAAACGGGACAATGCGGCCTTATAAGCAGTTGTTGGTGATTGGTGTTCAGTTAGTGGTGTGGGAACACAGTTGCAAATGGTATGACTCCAGTGGCCTTGCAGTTGCCATCAAGTAAACTGGGAATTATAGGAGGAAGACTAGTAGTGGGGACTGGGAGGGGAGTAAGAGGAACAGATGGAAAAGAAAGGCACCAGCAGTAGATGCTGTCGCTTATCCGCCCTGATGAATGCAGAAGATAAGGCGACCCCTGATAAGCTGCGGGATAGCAGATGCAGGATGTGGATGAAATCTAAGGGATCAGTCATGGTTGTACGTCGGTTGAGATACTGACATGGCGCCCAGACCTAGAGAAGAAAACGATTAGGGGGTCCTCAGCCAAAGCTTTTGGCTCAAAAGCTTGTCCGAAAGGTAGTGGATGCGGCAACGATTCGGTTTCACAGAAATGGACGCCATCCCTTTTTTTATTTCCCAAGCTGGAGGACCAGGAGACTGATTTCATCTGGCCTCTAATCATGCATCAAGCTGGTAAGAGTAGCTCTTAAGAGGCCCAAGGGCCTCACCCAGTATAGATAAACGGGTCGTAGAGGTGCGCAAACCGTCGCACCGCGTCCAGTCAAGTTGTGCGTATTGACGCTTCCCTGCCGTGAGACCACCACCAGTCGGACGTGGGCGGATCTTACGGAGACGTCGCTGGCACATACGCGGATTCGAACAAGTGACATCCGGACCACAAGGCAGGCGCGTAACCCCTTCGGACACCGGCTGACAGCATATCTAATGATTCACTCTTACAAGTTGCCACAATGCAGAGAACAGCGCTGGGTCCCAGAAGTACAATTTCGTTAGTAAAACCGTACACGATTTGAAGCCAGTAAAAGTTTCCGGGATAGTTATTGATGTTAATTAACATAGTATGACAAACTAGGTGAAACATGTGAGATGGAATGAGAAAGACAAGCAACTCAAACTCTCCTCCACATTAATCAGCTTCAAATAAAATCGTGTCGAGAAACCATGAGTCACGGAATCATAGCTACAGTGCACTCAGAATACGCCACCGCGATAGAACTGGGTAATCAAAAACATAATCAAGGAATTCGAGTTTATTGAACCAAGTCATAAAAATAGACCGACAATGACTCATCACAAATGTACAAATACAACGGGATCCAAGATATCCTGATGTAAGCTCCTCAGATGGCGCATAGAGGATGTATTCCCAATAGGCGAAGGCAAGCGGACAGCGCATCGCGTGAGATCATGAAAATGGACAATCGGATCTAAAGATAATGTGGAAAGACTGAAGTAGGGGTTATCATATAACAAAAGACGGTCATGGATGACTGAAAGGTCATTGTTACAATTGCGTAGATACCTGATAAGATTGTCACGGGCACGGTGGGAGCACTGGCCAATCGAGTGGATTTGCGTTGACCTGAAGGCGTTAGCTTAGCCCGGGGTACGCGCTGGTGAGAGGGAAATTGAGCGAGCGTGATAACGATCCTAGTCGCACGTATTTGGGTAGACGCTGATCTCTCGGAACGGACGCACTCTGGAGGGGTTACAGTAGACGCGCGTTAGTGACTTGACTTAGACGCGAACGCTGCCCGGCTAACGACGCACACAAAATCACGTGACCGACCGACTCCCAAGTAAGGCGAAAAGGAAGCAAGACAGACCATCCTTTGAAGGCTCTTTTACGACCATCATCATCATCATCATTACACGTTAGCTGGAGGTGGAAAACACCTCAGCTATTGTGCCGCAATACAAAAGACAAGAAAATAAAAACAAACAGTAGCACGCCTGCTGAGTCTCCAGTAACGGATGGACATCGTTCCGGAGAGCTAACCGCTGGCTGCCGTAAAAGAGAGTCGTATTATGCCTAACAAGTGAGATCGTGATTGGAGGGGGATGCTAAACAGGAGGGGGATGGACAAAGGAACTCACAACACAAACGCCATTGGGGCCGGCTCCAAGCCATATCAGCAAGTGTGTTCACCGTCCTTAGGACCCCAGCCAGGCAGTCGGGATGCACCAACCGACGCCAACTTCGAAGTGAGGGTTTTCATTTCTCTCGACCAAGTCATCACTTGACCTCCCCTCCTCCTCTTCCAACCGCACCCACAACGCGCAAACAATGCACGTCGCGGGAGTCTGTGTGCTGGCATGCGCAACACGAGGCCCAGCCATCGGAGCCTGGTGCGTGATATAATGGTGCTGAGCTCTTCACTCGCTCTTCCTGCACCAAATACGCGACGTCGAACACGCTCATTGCTCACGCGGTGCTCCCACCAGACATGAGCTAAGCTGCGGAGGCAGCGATGATCAAATGTGACGAGCCTCTTCATGTCTGTCGATCTGATGGGCCAGGTTTCACAACCATATAGGAGAGTTGAACGGACGGCAGCGTTGTAAACTCGGCCCTTGAGGGCGAGAGTAATGTCGCGTCTGCGCCACAGGTGGTGGAGATTGGCAAAAGCACCTCGAGCTTTTGCTATACGGTTCGTAACCTCATCTTCGATCCCACTGGTGCTAATATAGCTGCCTAGGTACTTGAATCACTGAACGACTTCTAGCAGATCACCACCAAGCGTTAGCGCAGGGTTGGGTCTCTGCCAATCTTGGAGAAGTACTTTGCATTTCGATGGAGCGAAGCATAGCCCAAAACGATTGACAGCCAGTGCTATCGGTCCAGTGCTGTTTGGCATGTTTGGGAGCTGTCACAGATTAGGGCAATATCGTCTGCATACTCCAAGTCAAGAAGCCGCTCACCAGGAAGTAGCTCCACACCTTCTAGGTCGTGTCCAGCGAACGCTGTTTCCATGACTTAATCAATAGCGAAGTTGAAGAGGAAAGGTGACAGCGGGAATCCTTGTCTCACACTGCTGGTGATACTGAAGGGTGGCGACAGTTTGCCATAAACCCTCACCCTGCCCGAACTATGCGCGTACAGCGCTTTGATAATGTTTGCATATTTATCAGGCACACCTTTCCTCAGCAGACAGTCCCAAAGTGCACATCGATCGACTGAGTCGAAGGCACCATTTATGTCAAGAAACACGACAACGGTGGGCCGCCAATAAACATGGCGGTGCTTCAACACTTGACGCAATGTGAAGATGTGGTCGATGCAGCCCCGACTTCGACGAAATCCGGCTTGCTCTTCAGGAATCTGGCTTTCAAGAGTGCCAGTCAGTCTGTGGAGAATGACAGAGGCAGGCAATTTAGAGGCAATCGAAATCAGACTGATCCCTCTATGATTGTTGCATTCTAAACGGGAGTTTCCCTTGAAAATTGGGACAATGACAGAGCGGTTCCAGTCTGTCGGGACTGTCTCCTGTTCCCAAAGTTTGACTAGCAACTCATGTAGATCATCTACTAGAGCAGGTCCCCCGCATTTGAAGAGAGCTGGGGGAATTCTATCTGCTCCTGCGGCCCTATGCAATTTCAACAGCCTGATCTCACGTTCGACTTCTGCGCGTGAGGGCGGATCCAAGGAGACGGTCCAGGGTTAAGGGCGCTCAATGCCCGAAGAAGAAAGCGATAACTCAGGTTAGCCAAATTGCCTTGCAAATTGTTCAGCCCAACGTTTCAAGGGTTTTGGCAGGCTGTAGATCGACTGGCCACTCTCGTCGCATATGGTCTCGCTAACACCAGGTCTCCCGCTGCCTGTTTCCCGTATCAGACTGAATAGCTTACGATGATTACCAACGGCAGCGGCTGTTTCCATCTCAGAGGCACGATGAGACCACCAGGTTTCGCGGTCCTTCTTAAGACTAGCACGTAGTTTTGCCCTGAGATTTTTGCGAACCTCATTGTGTTCGCTTCCAGCCGGAATACGTCGGCGAGCATAAATAAGTTCTAGAGACTGTGTAGAGACCCGAAGTCCGGTTTGGCAATTTGCTTTGTCACATGAAGACATGCCTGCTAACAGCAACGCTTGACGAATATGCGGCCAGTGATCTTCAACGGTGTTTAGTGGGCGCTTACTCAGCCCAGATGTCAGCGCACTTTGGTACACATTCAGAACATCTGGCTTCGCCAGCTGGCTGGTGTCAATCCGTTCACATCGATGTTGCTCTCGTCCACCGAAACGCACCCGGAGGTCGGCACAGACAAATGCGTGGTCAGAGTCCACGCTCGTGCTCCAAATCGAACGACAATTTTAGACACCGCCTCTCCAGCGGTAACTGATCGCGATATGATCGATTTGCGTCCACGGCTGGCCCGAGGCTGCTGGCCGCCAAGTCACACTTCTGCGGGTGCTGTGTCGAAAGTTAGTGCTCGCGAGAAAGAGGCGAGCATCTTCACACAGCTGTAGCAATCGCTCACCATTATCATTACAGGAGCCCACACCATGTTGGCCGCCAAGATGAAGCTCATCAGAGGACAATTTCCCGACTTGTGCGTTTAGATCACCAGCCAGCACCACAGTATCCGTGCTTCTTCTGTAACGAAGAAGCTCGTGCAGTTGCTGATATAAATCATATTTTAGAGAATCAGTGCTACAGTTTGTAGGGGCGTAAGCCGCAATGACAAATAGGCACCGTTTGTCCCCGCGCAACTTCGTAGCACGGAACGAACCAGCTATTCTAACGGCGCACATCCGACTGTTTACTGGGATCCAGTCAATCAGGGCAGCTTCAGCCCGGGGACTCAAAACAATGCCGACGCCAGCTTGACAGGCATTGGAAGCTGCATCATCGCCAGACAGGCGCAATGAGAATGTGTCGCCAGTATCGCATGTGGGGGATCTCAGGGTAAGCACGGAGCTCGAATCTTGCAGGCGGGTTTCTGATAAACAGCAAATATCGATCGATAGGGTCTCTAGTGTGTGAGCAAGTTCTGCCTGCTGGCCAAGCTGTGGCAAAGTGCGCAACTTAAGGCATGTCAGTCTTAGCGAGACGCGAGGATTCCAAAGGGAAGGGGATGAACTGACGTCCGCTTGGTTGAACATGGACTTGTCGACTGGACTGGAGCGAGGCCCTGCGATTGTATGTGATTTGAAATTAGAAGACAAGCGACTATTGAAGTAAGCTGGGGGACGGCCAAGAATTGGGGGATTGAAAACGGGGGGATATAAGTAAAGTTGGAGCGGGACGATAAGGATGAAGAAGCGCAAGAGGAGGAATAAGAAGACGGGAAGGCCTGAGCAGTAGCATCCAAACCCCTATCCACCCTGCTCGATGCAACAGATAGGGCACCGTTGATTGTCCTCTGCGACGGCCAGAGCGTCAAGAAATTGTTGTAGGAAAGGTTCATTGTATTGCGTGGGCAGAATACTGTCAGGTTGCCCAGGCCTAGACAGGAGAACAATTAGGGTTCACAACCAAAGCCTTTGGTTCAAAAACCTCACCGTAAGGCAGCGGGTTTTGGCACTGGACTACAGAACCCGTTTTATGAAATGAGGAGCCACCCCCATTCCAACCCCCAACCTGGAGGACCAGGAGGCTGAGTTTGTCTAAAAGAAAGAAAGGTGTCAGCTTATACGCCGTAACGGCGCTTCGCTGCCGCGCGACCACCACCAGTCGCGCGCGGGCTGTGTATACCGCGAGGACGCCCACCCCTACGCGGATTCGAACCGGTGACCTTATGGTTGCAAAGCAAACGTGCAGACCACTCGGCCACCGGTCATTGACCAATCTGGTATGAGTGGCTCTGAAGGTGCAAAAAAGCACCACCCAGCATAGCTCAATGGATCTCTGAGGCACGCAAACCATCGCACCACGGTAAGATCCAGCCTCATTGCGATGGGGTCCAGCATCATTGCGATGGTCTTTTACGACCAACAAAGGGCGAATTACAGCCAATGCTATGGGTCATTGAGTTAGGGAAAATTGTGACCACGACGGGGTGGTAGTGTGCAAAAGAACATTGTCAACAGATGCGCAGCGTCTCGGAGTGACTGAACACCGCTACGTTGTGGGAAGGAATTGGACCTCGCTTTCCAAAGCCATTATGCCAGAGTTTGTGGCGCGTTTTTGCGGGGATATTTGACGGGCCCGCAACAGTAATTTGAAGTACTCGTGTAATTGGATTGGGACGAGCAATCTCAGCGTGGACCGTGAGTCGCGTTGCAGTGAAGGATACGGAAAATGGGTGTTGCCCGCCCGAAAACATCACACACCCCTACGCGTTTGGACTATGTTTGATCTCATCAGGTAGAAAAAGCAGGGTTAGAGGGCCAAGCGTTGCCAGTCGTGACCTGGTGGCTAAAGGAGAAGAGGTGCTAACTAACAGGGTTTCAAGCCTGTTATCTCTACCTGATGACCGGTACTGACGACCGGTACTGCCGATTTACAAGCCTAATCACCAAACGTACGAACGGTCTGGACAGTGAATTACGAGGACGATGGGCGGAATAAGTTGTACTGAATGAATCGTGGTTCTACAAGAATTGAAAGTCAAAGACACAGAGGTGACTTTCGAAAAAGTGAATGGACTCGCAAACGGATGTAAAGAAATCCAATTAAATTCGAACAGCGGCAGTAATGGAGGTTCAGTAAACGCAGCGCAGTATAACAAAAGACTGGATACTTAGACTCAGGTTATGGCTAAAGGGCGGAAATGTTATAAAGACAAAAATACAAACACATAAATCAACGCGGATGTTAGTTAGTTCCTTCGGATAATTATCAGAATTACCATACAACATCAGTCAGTGCAAATCATCGTAAAGTGAAGATGTGGAGAGGTGATAAAGAAAAGTGAACAACTCATAAGTTGTCAGTAATGTCATTCAGCTTCGTGAATTCACAATGTGATTAATCAAGGTGAAATACGCAAGTGGAATGCAGTTTTTGGACGATCGCGGAAACAAGTTAAGAGGAGGGGAGGGGTGTGAAAAAAGCGCACCGAAGAGCCAGTGAGACGATAAAGTCACCGGCTTCAAGGATTGCATGAAGTGATCCAGCAAGGACAAGAATGTCATGAACACTCAGTGTGATAGAAAGTAGTCAGGAATAAGGTGGATGTTTTGCGCACACAGTGTCCGTCTCAGACTAAAGGACCGTTACCCACCCGAGCAGACATGTATATGTGACGGACCTTAAATAATCTGTAATATGATGACAAGGACATGGAGATTAGTGGAACCCTAAGATGCAATAAATGAGGGACGCTAATCCAGGTACTCAGAACTCACCAACTGTTCGGCAGTATCGGTACAGTTCAGCACACCTAAATGTCTCCAAGCAGAATTAACGCAAGAGCTGTGAAATAGAAATGGGGAAAGGTAGGATAGTGGGGGAAATGGGTGTCCAACTTTCGCAACTGAAAATAGCGGGAACAATACGATTCGGGTTGGTTAGTCGACTAGGATGCTGGCGCAGCGGAGAGTGATGGATCTGATTACCCCAACTGTAAAAGAATGATAAGGAACAACTGCAAGGAAAAAGACTTGGAATAGTAATAAATGTAAAGGAAAAGCGGATAAAAAATTGACACAAAATGTTACTATCTGGAAGCAAGAAACCGAATGCAAAAGCGCTACAGACACCGCGACTACACCATATTCGATCTGGTCACCAAGCAATGATGTGGACGATCTCGAGTTACCTATATACGAAGGCGGTAAGCCTCAAGCTAGACAAGTCTTTCGGTCATCTTCCTCCCGCCTCTTCACCAGACGACCATCGATTCTCGCCACCTTGCAGGTTCACCCAACGTGATGTAGTGAGAGAAAATAGTGTACGCCGAAGAATGCAGTCAACGACTGTATATGGAGAACGTTCAGAAAACGATGCAAAACGGTTCGACACTAGTGCACACTCGAGTGCGGCACCAGCGGGGTCACCCGATGCTCCCATAAGATGGGTGCAGTATTACGCATGCACCGGTAGTGAAAGGCTAAGAATCTCTTAACGTCTTCAGCTTTAAGTGCTTATATTTCCGATACACGTAATGACGCCGGCGATGTCACAGCGTTAATATTCATCTAACTGGTAAGCCGATATCTCGCATCTACATAGGTGACTGAGTCAGGGAAAAACCACGTGGCCTTTGATGATAAATTAACTGACTTTCCCACTGATGTGACCACCACAGGAGACGCAAACACTTCGCTAACTAGAACGATCGACTACTTCCAATGGCTTTTCGGTAGTGTCTGAAAACGGCGGTACCGCTGTAACAGCGCAGCAGTTTGAAGTTATGAAAGACGTTAGGCATCACGCAGCGCTACCCATGTGACTATTCGGTAGTATAAGTGGAAATGCCGTCCATCTAGACTCAGTTATACAGCGATCACACGCTCGAAAAAGCAGTGTACGGCCGTTAATTCCTTTCGGGAGTTGTCAGCAGTGCGCACTCCATCTGGCCCCTATGTGGCTAAAACCAGTGACCCGACTGTTGATAGTCAGTGGTGAAGAACACTGCGTTACGAGGTATGGTAACAACAGTGGTGACTAAGTTACTAGATGTGATGTAGCGCCGCTGACTATCCACTGACTTGCATGTTTATACCATGCAGGGGACAGGGCAGCCCCGCGCCAATTAATTTGGTATTATAAGCAGTTTGGTCTGCGTATTGATTACAAGGGGGATTTCATGGGGGCATGCCACTAGTAGAGAGATACGATTCGGTTAAGTGGCTATCGACTTGCATCCTCCTATTTTGTCCAATGTCAGACTAGCGGATCCACTGGTGCAGTGAGCCGCCAGCACTGCACACTAGTGGTTATCCTAGTTGAACGTTTGGCTGAAATCGACGTAGATCTTGTTGACAGAGTTCCCATAGTTCACTGTCTGCAGCTATTTACGCGTCGTCAAGGACACAAGCGGCCTGGCGTAAAATCATTCTGTGTGGGCGCCAGTAGAACTATGATTGAAGCAGCTGTATCAAATTCTTCTTCATAATCGCCTCGGCTATTTTGGTCTGTAATTTCCAGTCAACGCCATTCGGAATGGGCTTTAGAACGGAGCATTGACAACCAATCGTCAATGTACCTTCGGACAGCTAACTGCAGAGCAGATAAGTCACGGCAGGTGAGATGATGACCGATAGGGACTTAAAAATCAGTGGGTGAAGCCGGTCAGGCCCAGCAGAAATCGTGCCGTCAAGATTGGCATTTAGAATTCTCGAGCTTGGTAAGGGTGCTGCAAGTTTAACTCGGTACAGGCGCCTGGTCATTTGGAAACATGGAAATGTGCCGCCAAAGGGGAGGCATGCTCGGTGCTGGAGGTTAGAGATTGTCCGTCTGAGCTCTCTATCATTGGTAGATTACTTTCCGGCTTCAAGCGCCGCTTCTTTTCAGAGCAATCTTTGCGACGGTTGCAAACCGCTCCTCGAGGTATCGACGCTTTCTCCTTTTAGCATTATTGTAAATATGTACTGCCTATATATGTTTCGTAACCAATGACCGAGCCAGAGATAAAGAATTTGTTCAAGCGTGCACCGTTGCTCTTGCCAAACCAAGTTACCATATTCCTTGTCGAACCAAAGAGGCCTGAATGATCCGACTTTCCGACACATTAGAGGCACAAAGCGCTTTAATCCATCTATTATAGCTGACCAGCAAGATTTAACAGACGCACTTCGCAGATGGAGTCAAATCGCCGAAGTTTATTTTACAGTAGTTGTAAGCTGATCGTAGTGCGTAAGAATGATGCATCCGCAACTTCAATGAGCATGAAGAGTGAGTCACCACTGCCTATTGACCGATCGATCGGGTCAAGAATGATGAGGTTGAGAAAACCAAGATGAAATAGATATTATAACTGAAGGGTCAGACGTGCCAGTAGAATCGGTTGCGAAGTCAGCGGCAGTCCAATGCTCAACAGACAGGAAAAGCTGTAACGAATGAGAATGACAAGAAGGAGTACAAGCGACTGAGTGCTGTTAGTAGATGGTGTTCTCCGGTTGTCTATCCCAAGGGTAGAGTTTGTTCCGGGTTTCACAACTATAACTCAGCAGTCAGACGCACAAAGTAGAGGGGGAATATGCTCAGCTCGATCACATTATTGCAGGTCAGGTTGGGATCTTATTGAGACCTGTCATACGCAGCTCTGGAAGTTGCAGAACAAATTACATGTGTTTTCCGACCACAACGGGTTAGTCATCGGCAGAAACGGGAATTGACGGATTTGCACCCACCTGATCAGAAATTGCTGGTCTGTAGTGAGTGACGGTAAAGCAGTTAGATTGATGGTGGGGTTTCGGTGTGGCTCTATTCCATCACTGCGCTCCACGGCGCGTTTCGTTCGTGATTGAACTCATCAGGTAGATACCCTGAGCCGGGAGTGGAAGTCAGCAAATAATAGTTAGTGGTTGTCGCCTTGATCACTAGGATACCGAACTCCATGAGCAAAGCTTGGCGTAGCAGTTAGGAGTTAATTGTCCGATTTTGTAGCACCATGTGACTTGGATAGTGACACGCAATCTCATTTGTGGCATCTGTTGACGGGTTATTGTCCAAGAACTGGGTGAAGATTACCAGCACATGTATAGGAACACTTTCTAAAACCAGGCCTCTGTGAGAAAAAAGCGAGATGAACGTCGCAAGTGGGGATTCCGTATGATGGAGTCTCATGAATCGTCAGCCACTTTGGTTAGCGGTTTTGGACTTACCTTTAAGTGCGATGATAAAACTTGGAATAAAAAAGGCATCAGCAGTACGCCGTACCAATGTTTCGCTGCCACGCAATCGCCTTCAGTCGCGCATGAGCTCAAGATACTGCGAGGGTCGCCAGGTCCCATAGGCAGGTGCGAAGCTGCGACCTCCGGGCTACATGGCAGACACCTTGTGCTTTCGATCACGGGCAGACAAAATTCTGCATAAAGATCGCTAAACAGGTATGTTATTTTTGAGACTAATAAGTAGGTCATGAATGACCCTCTGATTGTAGAGTTGAATAGTATCCAGTCGTACAATGATGGGTAATGTTCCAAGTCTCTTTGACGCAATGCAGCGTGAAGTTTGATGAAGGTATCGAACTAGTTATCGCTGATAAATGAACGCTAAATCAATCGACCGCCGTCATAGATGTGCGTACTCGACATATCTCTGGGAAATCGAACGGAATGAAATCGCAAAAGTTGGGGATCAGAGTCGTTAAGTCAGATCCAGCGATTCCCTCGAGTTGTAAACCAGACGGATTGTGATTGTGTATGAGCCCTGATTTAGTCAATGACAAACTCATTTCGGTTGGCTTGAGTGCGCATGGGTATGTAGTCCACGGGCCATGTTGGTGATGGTTTACGGTACTTCCATACACGGCGATCGATGCAGATGAGTGTGTCCCAAAAAGAAAAAAATGGTTCGCAACCCGAAATAAAAGTGAAAACATTTATATCATGCGGCGACAATGTGACTGATAATCTGCGGTCCTGTGACGGGTTTACAAGTCGAACTCAGCTTCTAGCCGACCCATCAGTAAACGTAATCGTACGGCCTTTGGTCACTGAATGGTTTGGTGTGAGTGGTTCAACAATGCCAACATAGAGCTGCTTTATGGGCCGAGTGGACCTAAGCAACGAGACTAGATCGAACTTCAGAGCGTAGCGATCCAAAAGATGACCCACGACCTGGTGTGTATACCAGTGCAGCGGTTGAACACATGTGCCTATTTCAGGCACTCAACTCCAGCTAGTTGAAAAGAACAATGGAGAAATACCTAAAAGGCAACTCGCATTCTTGTGTTTGCAACGAATATACGTAAGTAAGTGCGGAGAGCCAGGGTAACAAGCGAGGACGGTCTCGCTATTCACCTGCAACTTGCTATAGAGACGCTGACAATAATGGGTGAGGTGGAATCTAGTGAAAAAATCATTCCATAGAACAAGAGTTTTTAGCAAAGAAATATGCAAGAATACTTCCAACTCACGTTAGTCTGGTGGCAAACTGTACAATAGCAGAAGCTTCGTAGTGGGTATAGGCGTACTGCACCGAGGCTGGGAGGCTGAAACAAAACAAAATATATTACAAGAGAAAACAAGTGTCACTAAGAAGAGGGCTTTGAGACAAACAATAGCAATTATTTGCATAAAATACGTATTCGGAATAGAGTTACAGTGGTTGAAAATGAAAAGATCGCTTTCGCAAGTAAAGACTGTGGGAAAGAACGATAATCGGGCGCTATCAAAGCCAGTGTCCGAAGTCCCCGAAACAACAATCGCAATAAACAGGGAGCTATGTTTCCATGGACATACACAATCTACATCTCTTGAACTGACCCCCAAATATCCGATCGCGAATGCAACGAGTCTAACACAGTTCAGCGGAGTGTATGCCTGATGGACGAGACCCAGTCAGAAAGGCGAACACAGTCTCAGTGGACAAATCACGCATGCGACAAACGGGAAAAATACCGGAGAAGAGAAACACAGGCTGGTTACCTACCTGGATAAATGATCGAAGAGGGCAGCAAAGGAAGGATCCGAGGAGCTAGACGGTGGATGCTGGACAGCGGCATCAAGTCGCAGGATTAGGTCCTCATTCATATGATTCCATGAGACCGGATCGTCCTGCACGACTGGAGAGACCAAACCAACATTTGTGGCCTTTTGTTGTAGACTGCCGAGAAGAAGTAAACAGTTCAGACTTGATACCATCGGAGTGTGCATGTTCAACCCCATGAGGGAAAGCAGTCAGATAGTACGAGTATCCATAGGAAAATCGCAAGACTGAACACACAGCTACATGCTGTTTTGATAAATGACCGTGCGGCGTATGTGCCACAGGAGTTACTGTTGCTTATTCACCCACGAAAAGACGGAAAATTAAGTGTTGTTGATGTAAAGTAACAACGTTTAGGAACCTTGAGCAGAACGCGCAGTCTCCAGGTGTCCAAATTCAACCAAGGGCGGAACAGATCACATATCATCGGAAACAAATTTACGAGCCAGAACTGACGCACGCTTCCCGGAATAAGTCAAAAATTAAGTCCGGATTGATTACGGGACTGTTAAGATACAACAAGCATAAAAATATTACAAATCTCAAACAGTATCATCAAGGCGTGACCGCAAGAACCGCTTTAACACAAGTCAACGCACAAAGTGGGTGAGTAAAAGCATACACATACGCTGGGTCAGAAGTTTGCCTGAAGCAAGACAGCACAAAACGCACCAATGGCGCAGGTGAGATGATCGATTGAATGTAACAGGATAGACAGGCTATAAAGCTGATTGGCTATCACGCGAAGGTAGACCGGTGAGACCCTCGCCGTGTCCGCCATAGAATTGACTGGGATAACACACAGGGAGTAAGACAGTGTGAGCACTGTAAGCTTGAGCAATAATTGAGCGTGGGCAGGACAAGTAAACTCGGGTGGGTAATCAATGTTCATGTGAGTAAAAGTCAAAATAACTAGGGTTTCAACAAGCAAGATAAAATAGGAATCAAGTTAGTCACTGATCGAGTTGGTGGAATCAATAGAGGGAAAATCTCCAGATAGGCTGAGCACATTGATTTGTCCGGCATAGTTGATACATCCTCAGCTGGCCACTCGCGTGTTAATATGGCCGAAAGTGCAGTGCCCCATGCGGAGGCTGATGTTGCATTCATGTTGCTTCTTCACCGCAGTTGGGCTAAACCAACTTACACTTAAACTAGGTCTTTTTAATGTGGATAAATTTCATTACATATTATTTGGTTTGTTCTGCGTACTTGTTAATCTTCTCCCAACTTACACACGTCGCTCATGCAAATTGTGGTAAACTTGCGTAATTTTATCGCGTGGTATTTTTAAAAAATAACTTTCGGACATTTTGTACTTATCGCGTATTCACATTTAACCAATTTCTTCCATTTGCTCATTTAGCGAGTATTTATGTCGTCATATGCGTTTATTTTATTCGGTATCGGCATTTCGAATGATTGGCTGTTGTTTGACATCCCAGGTGTGGCTGCGCTTGATGTGCATGTTGACAAGGTGCCTACCTGTCTATTACCCACTACCTCGTCCATACTGACTCCAGGAGACAGTTGGTCGTTGCTGGAGGGGACGGGGTGCACGGTCCTTGTGGCCGTGCTAGGCTCGAAGAGTGGTTCCATGCACTCAGTGTGGAGCGGACTACGGTCCAGCCACCGCCTTGTGTGCGGTTGATTCCCCAACTACAGCGTGCTTGTGTTCGCCTGTGAAGGAGTGTGGGCCGGCTCCGTTGAGGAAACGTGGCTCCCATCCACATGCCTCCCGGTCTTATTCCTTCGGGTTTACACTGGATATGGGGTGTGTGGATGGAGCTGTGGGTGGTGCAGCGCAAGCCATCCATGGTCCCTCTGTAGACGCAGGCGTCCTGTGGCTGGCCACAGTGACAGGCAAATCCGAAACCGGATGCCGCCAACCATGTGATTGGTTTTTTACTTTAACCGTGCAGGTTAGCCCTTGCCAACATCAATACACGATATCTGAGGGTTAGAAACACATTCCAGCTAATGTGCCGCAATACAAAAAATATATCAAATTCTGTAGAATACGTAAAGTAAAAATGTATTTTAATACTATATATCATACTACGGATTAGGCGTGAGATCGTGGTTGAAGGGGAAGCTAAAGGGGAGAGGAGGTGCAAAGAAACTCACAACACAAACACCACTGAGGTCAGCCGTGTCGTGGACAATCAGCGGCAGCGTCTAAGAGCATGGAGGGTTCTGGGCTGATCACCAGTTTCCTCATTAAATACCACAAGAGATCGTAAGACGCAGTGTCAAAGCAAAGGTGGCCGGCTATAGGGTCAATGACCACACACATCTGGTCACATAAGTGAGTTCTCAACACAGGGCGGATGAACAACCTCGATGGCCACCGGCATCTATGAAGGCGTACGAGCCACCTGGCTGTTAACAGCCTTCGTACTTGGTGGCGAGTTCGGTGGTTCAGTGAATCCTGGCCTCGTCGCAGATTCACTCGGGTTTTTCGGGCACCCTGAGTAGTTTGTTACTACTCGTAAATCGTGTTATCCTCACCTAGATAACTGACTACCGACGGTTCGCCGTATACGTCAATCGTCCAGCTGCCTTGTGGGTTAGGTCTATTATAACTCAAGACTCCGGGCGGGGTCCCACAAGTAAACCCTATCCTTCGACCTAGGCAACCGGGAAACACTGTGCCAACACAACTTATGAATGCATGACTCAACAATTCTTCGCTCGCTTGCTCCGCTTTCGCTCTCTCTGCTCTCACGCACTGGAACTGCTCTTCTCATGCGAGGTGCCGGCAGCCAAAGCTGCCAAATCATGTTTTACAGCATTACCGTTCAACTACTTTATTTCACGTTTGGGCAATACCCCATTAATGACCTTCCTCTTCCGTTTCCGAGGCTACAACATAGTGACACCTTGGGCGAGCATTCTCGCCCTACGGATCAATAGCTTAGGACCGAGGATGCGCCAAGTCGTGTTAACAAGTCATTTCTAGCGCCTCGTTCGAAATTTAAACTGGAAACCACCAATGTTCGGAAGCTGATGTACGTCGGATCACAGACAGCCCTTACTCGCAATATAGAAAATACGACTGCTGATGTCTGCTACCTCAGTGAGATCGGTTTACAGGACGCTAACAAGTAGTTACGACTGGTTTCATCGTCTGCGAATTCCACTGGCATTATCACACTGCGCGTAACTGGACACGCAATCGCCGAATCCGCTGATCATGCTGGCGTGGGGATTGGGTTGAGTACACGTGCTGAGGTCATGCTACTAGACTGGATCCCTGTCAATAGACGGTACTGCGCGATCCGATTTGCATTCTCGGTGCGACTGTCCAGGTGCGAAGCCAGCAGATAGTGTTTGTTCATTGTCGCAGCGTACCCTCCCACAAGTTGCAGCCCAGAGTCAGTTAAAGACGATTTCTATGGTCAACCGATTGATCTTCTCCGTAAAAAGCGACGCAGACATCGGGGTGTTCGCCAGGGAGTAAATGCGCAAGTCGGTAAACTTGAGGCTGATGAACGTGCATTCAGTGGTCAACGCAGCTATGACATTCGCAGAACAGACAACGGCGATCGCCTACTTCAGCACTGTGACGATTACGGCCTCTTTCTGTTGATCACTAGCTTTCGGGGATCCTGACGCCAACGCGCTACCTGGAGACCCCCAAGACCTGGCCAGCCGTGGCCACAGATTGACCACATCGCTATCAGTTAACGCTGGCATGGTTGCATACGGGATTGAAAATGAATCTGAAGTACTTATCTCATTTCGGATCACGCGCTGTGTGTGCCAAGGTTGTGTTACGTTTGGGTGGCTCCCAGAAGCGTCACCAGAAACGGTTTGACGTGGCTAAGCTTTCCGCCCCAAACGTTCTCCGAGCATTTCAGGATGCTTTGGCCTCAAGACTGAAGACTGCCTCATGCACAGACATTGAAGCACCCTGGACACATATCCGCGGCTCCTTGTACAACCCTGCAACATGGTCTGTGACTTCCCCAGTTCTGTCAACCACTAGTCCTCTGTGTGACCTCTGCAACTTCTCGAAGCTCGTCGAGCAATTCCAGCTGGCGTTAAACACCATTCACTGCGCAGAACTACCAACGCTGAGCCCAAAAATTTCTCCGAGAAGACCGCGACGCCTGGTGGACGCAGCAAATCACCGAGATGGAGCAAGCGGCAACTTCGTAGAATAACCGCATGCTTTTCCTCCTGATCCGAGCCACTGGCGGCAGAAGGACGACTGCAAGCGATGTTTTATGCGAAAGCAATGGTGATTCAATCCAATGCTAAAATGCCCAAGGCCCAAATAAACTACATCCGGCTTGCTTCAAAAATGGAGGCCCATCACATGATCGGGAGTTAAGTTCCCCAAGTTATCCCATTTGATTGGAGCCTAGCGGACACCGTACCCGTCTTCAAGAAAGATACCAGAACTGACTACACCAAACATAAAGGGAATAGTCTCAGCTGTGTTGCCTCCAAGGTGCAAGCCACCCTGCTTTTAAGAAATCTCAGCCTGGCACCCGAACATATACGTGAAGACCAAGCTGGGTTCCGCTTAGGTCGGAGTTGCATTGATTACGTCTTCACACTATGCCAAATACTCGAGCGTCGTCAAACATTTGGCCGGCCAACGATCGTTGTCTTCTTAGACAATACGAGCCGAGTTTGACTCTGTTGATTGAGCTATTCTCTGGAATTGTCTACTGAGAAGAGGAGTGCCTGAGAAGTATGTCACCATTCTTCAAGTCATCTACTATCAAACCTCAGGCCGAGTGGGGTATACGGCGGAAAGCAGCCCCACTTTAGTATCACCAGTGGGGTGAGACAGGATTGCCTAACATCTCCCTTCTTGTTCAATTTCGCTATGGACGAAATGCTGGAGAGTGCGATGGAGAAGTGCGAACCCAGCTGCGTTGAGTTGCTTCCGGGGGATCGACTTCGGGATATGGAGTATGCACACGACATCAGCGTAACCTGCGATTTCTCACAGGTCGTCTAAAATATCCTGTGTAGCTTGTGGGTATCTGTCTCCCAATTCATAATGACACTCGCACCATCTAAGTGCAGTGTCTTCCTGCTGGACTGGATAGGTGCTGCTCCTACGCTTACCCCTTCAGATTATTCGTTGGAAGTGGTAG